TGAGTCTCATAAAGATGAGATGAAATGATTACCAAAAATGTGTTATCTTCTTCAAGGAAAGCATACTTCAAGTCCATTGGCAAAGGCTTCAATTCCAACTTGGGTGTTTGAATGCTTGAAGGAATTAGAGGGCTAGTCTTCGATGAAAGCTCTTCAAACTTGGATTTCCACTATCTTATCTCAAAAACTTGTGAAGAATTTAACAAGTTAATTAGCTCACAAACCTCTTCATTATCCTCATCAACTTCTAGAAAAGGTTTAGTCTTATCAAGTTAACATGTTTCAAGAGGACTGGACAAAGAAGAAACATTAAATTGAACATGCACAATTGAATCAATTAAATTAACTTATGCAAGTCATCACTCACATCATCCGATTGCTTACACACATTAAAGATGTTCAACTTTGATGTCATATTCGCAAAAGACAATTTCATCACTCCATTTCGGCAATTAATCAAAGCATTAGATGTAGCAAGAAATGGGTGACCTAATAGGGGAAACAAATTCACACTAGCTCCTAAGTGAAGTAATGCTTGTTCTATTTTGCATTTTTCTATGACACATGCAATGGTGGGACAACAGGGATCCTTGTATTTTAAGGGGCTATTATGTTGGATGATGAACGACACTTGTTCGGTCAAAAAGGTTTTCTTTTAAACGTTAAGTTTCCTCTTGATGGTACACAAGTCTTTCAAAAATTTAGCATATGATGATATTTACTTGATGGCATCTAGTAATAGAATGTTAATCTTGATTTTTTTGAACACTTCAAAAATCTTGGAATTCACATTAGCCTTTGATGCTAAAACCAACCTTTGAGAAAAAGGTGTCGGTATCGAACATCTAGGTGGCTCGCTAGACACATCCTCTACGCTAGGCTCAACATGGTCATCACCCTCATTTTCCCTAGTGGTCTACTCATTCTCATAGGCTCTTGAACCTTCAAGGGGATAGTCATATCTACAATCTTTCCACTCCTAAGGGTAGTGATAGCCTTTATTTACTCTTGGGTGGTATCTGGTGTAGAAGAAGAAACTACCACTTGGAGTTGGCCTTGTAGATTTGGTTGAGGTTGAGCCAAAAATTTTCTTTTTTCTTGGTGGCAAGGGGTTGTGGTCAACTTGATAAATGTATTCCAAATATCATTAATGGCTTATTGTTGTTGAATAAAATTTTGGGTCAATTGGCCTAGGGCTTGAGTGATTTTGGGCGTTCATTGTGGCTTGATTAGAGATGAATTGTTGTAAAGTGTCCTCCAAAGACCTCTTGGGTGGTGGAGTATAAGGGATGAAATTGGATGATCCTTGAGGTGATGGTTGGAAAGGAGGTTGTTGTGTGGCATTGTCATTTCTTCAGCTAAAATTGGGGTGTGCCTTCCACCTCGGATTATAAGTGTTTGAGTAGGGGCTGTTATAGGGCTTGGGAAAAGCATTCACTACATTGGTTTGATCACTCAACACATCGTTCAAAGCAGTGATCGTAGGTAAATCACTAGTTGAATGCCCTTTGATCTCACACATTGAATATAACCCTTCTTGAGGCACGGCTTGAACCTCATTCACCTTTTTCATCTCTATGGCCTTAATCTTCCTGGCCAAAATTGTAATCCTTGTATTCAAGTCATCCTCCTCCTTCAATTGATATTTTTCCCCACCTAATGGCGCATTTGAGATCTTAGACTTAGAATCAGGGGATTGAGTGTTCCAAGCTTGGGCACTCTTGACTAAGGAATCAAAGTACTCAAAAGCTTCTTCCGATTCTTTAGCCATGAACTCCCCATTGTACATCATTTCCACAAATTGCCTCATTTTGGAAGACAAAACCTCATAGAAAAAACTTATAATTCGCCAACTTTAATTTCTATGATAAGGGCATGATTCAAGTAGTTCCTTGAATCTCTCCTAACATTGGTAAAATGTTTCATTGTCTCTTTCAAAAAAATTCATGATTTGTCGCTTCAAAGTATTTATTTTTTGAGTTGAAAAAAACTTTTCAAGGAACTCTTCTTGCATTTCTCGCCATGTTCCAATAGACCTTGGCCTAGGGGAGTTTAACCATGTTTTACCTTTATCCTTTAGAGAGAAGGAAAAAAGTTCTAATCGGATTATACCCTCTGTAGTCGTCGAGTTATGGAATGTGGTACAAACCTCCTCAAAATCACGGATACGAAGGTAGGAATTTTCAGAATCTAAACCATAAAATTTGAACAACAATGCAATCATGCTCAATTTAAAAACAAAACGATGAGTTTGCACGAAAAAAAATTGTATGAAGGTGTAGTGTGATGGACGGGATGCAAGTATTCTCTCAATGTTCTAGTATTATTGACATTCACATTAGCTCGCCCATTATTCATTTCCTCATAATCCTCATTGTTGTCATGATTACTCCTAGCATCATCCCCCGGCGGATCTGCTTGTGGCATGAAAGGATTGTGAACCTCTTGTGGGTTTTGAGGTAAACCCGGGGTTTTGAGCTAATTGGGGGTATTTTGGTAGTAAAGGGTTTTGACCTATTTATTGGGTTATTTTGTGTCATCTTAGAATGTGTATGTTCGTGTGAGGATGTGTCAAATAAATCTCCAATCTCCAATAGTGAGCCAAAATCCTTCCTAATTAACCTTCCACCAATCTCTCTATGTCTAAAGTTCATGCAACAATAACCAACACAAGTAGCAAAACAAAATAAAATACGAAAAAATTAAAGCGTTCAAATTTATAATTTGAATATCCTATTCACATGTAAATACTCTTGCTACATGCAGAGAATACACTACAACACTTGCTCATTGAGTGAGATTACCAAAATCCTGTGCCTTGTCTCTCTCTATTAAAAATAAATTATATCTACATTATGTTTGACAATAAAAGTTGTGTTCTTATTGCTCTGACGTGGAGTACCAAAGTCAAGTTGGCACCATATTATTCGGTTTTTGTGAGATTAATATCAGACCGTGATTTAAATATCATGTAAAATAACTTAAAAAATACCTTTAGAATTTATAATTATTTTTAGATAAACACTCATTTAAGAAATAATTTTTGAATTTCTATTAGTAAAAAATAATGTTTGACAGATCAAAACACTTCAAAGGGGATCTCTCAGGCGATGTGCAATCGCGAGATGTAACTCAATCATGCATGAACCAACAAAAGTTTACAAGGTTTTATTTACAAGAAAACTGATAAATAACTTTCATTTTTACACTAATCGTAACTTAAATTAATTTAAAATTTATTTTTAATATTGCCTAGCGGTTGTGGATTTATGACTTTTTCCTTTTTTTTTTTTTGGTGAGACACTATAGTAGAATAGGTAGGCGACCAGGTTTGAAATCACAATCCTAAGATTGTACAGTAAAGACAGTGACCATTACGCCAACTCCTAATCTCAGTTCATTTTATCCTTAACTGCTCATATTTATTTCATCACTGTTTTTTACGAGTACACTTTCTTTTGACAGCTTCTATCTGCATAGCAATCTCGTATAACAGTCACTCAGATTTTAAAAGTCACACACTTTTGTGACCAAATATCCTTTTATTGTATCTCCCCAATATATATATAATATGGTACTCACAATTTCATATCAAGGACCACCTCAATCAGTTAAACGGAATACTTGTGATTTTCCCTTCTAGTTAGACTTCCACTTTCTTTCTTTTTTTGATTGACTTCCACTTTCTTTGATTTTCCAACGAATGGTAATATCTATAATCACGTGTGGATACTATCTCCCACCAATAATTATTTTTTTATCCTTTTAGGTGTGAATTTTATTTTTGACTTTTGAAAGATATAAAAAATTTTACTTTATTCCTAAATAATTAATATTTTTATATTATCTCCTCCAAAAAATAAAATATTTTAATGTGATTCGTCATTTTATTTTCATTTAATTGTCTGTTTATTTTATAATTCTTGATTAATTAATTTGACATAAATAAGACGATAAACTATATTATAATATGTTTATTTATTTGAGAAAATAATGAAAAAAAATTAATCATTTCTATAAACTAAGAATTTTTATATCTTCCCCGGACAAAATGAGATTTTCCCATCCTTTTATCGTTAAAACCAAGCAGCTCAAACATCGACGGCCACAATAGCATTCATCGTCCAGGCATTAACGGTCTGACCTGGCGTGCAATATCCCACCTATAAAACTCATGCATGCAGTGACCTCCCTGTTCACCCCGACGAACACATCTGTCTCTCTCTCTCTCTCTCTCTCACTCACACACGTGCACTCAATTTTTAAACAACTTGTTTTTCTCTCTCTTTTCCAGAAATTTCACCTCTCCCCACCACCTAAATATAGCTCTCTCTCTCTCTCTCTCTCTCTCCAGCTGATATTCATTTAAGGGAGCTCCTGAATGTCTCTCTCTCTCTAGTTTTCCTGGCATTGCACTGAGATAATTGAAACCGAGGTTAATCTAATTCTTTAGCTCTGTTCGATTTTCTCAAGCTATATTCCATAGTTTTCAGTTTGTTTTTTTTTTTCAAGAATTTGAATAGCTTTCAACAACGTCGTTCGGAAATACGTTGTAAGTGCCCTTTTCACGATTCAAAATGCTCGTGCTTTCTGTTTGGTTGCTCATAAATTTTGGAAGGGAAAACGAAAAGTGCAAGGTGGGAAGAGAAAGTTTCAGAAGAAAATCTTTCTATTTTGGGATATATATTTGCATGAATTTCCCTCGCACACATATGAATACCCGAACCTCAACTCAATTTTGTCTGTTTATTTATTTTTCTTTTATTTTCAGACAGATGATCATTTGATCTTGTTTTTTTTTTTTTTTTATAATTAAACTTAATCATGATTGTGTTATTTTATTTCATGCAGAGTTGATAATGTGGAAGCTTTTGAAATGAACAGTTGGTGGACATGAATTTCGCCAATTCTGCTTCGTGGAAGAACGTTACGGTTCTGCTCATGACAATTAATCAAATTACGGTTAATTGATTCAATTGTTATCGATCCAAACGGTTAAAATGGCTTCCCAATTAAGTTTTGCTGCAATGAAATTGGGAATGTTGTCCACTTCTGATCATTCTTCTGTTGTGTCCATGAACCTATTTGTGGCGCTCCTCTGCGCTTGTATTGTTATTGGTCATTTGCTGGAGGAGAACCGTTGGATGAACGAGTCGATCACTGCCCTCATCATTGTGAGATTTACCTCTCATTATTCTCCAATTGGTTGTCAAGAATCTTAGGCAATAAAATCTGAAATCTTCAATTTAATATCAGTATAAAAAAAGTTGGCTACAACATAGCTGAGTGTCTATATTAAGGAGGATTATGTAGTGTACATGTTTTATCAGCTGCCTCAATGTCATGAATCTTAAGATTTGGAATTTACTATTCTCCCTGTTCTTTAGACTTTTGTTGGAAACAAAATAAAGCATGTTTACTCGTATTGTTGGAAGAAGTTAGCATAAATAGATTAATTTCTCGAATAATTTTATGTGCCCACTCACATTTATGAAATTCATCCTTGCTTTATGTTATAACGTTAAGATTTATATGTCGGTTGGTTGCAGGGTCTATGTACAGGAGTTGTCATTTTGCTAACAAGTGGGGGGAAAAGCTCACATATTCTAGTCTTCAGCGAAGATCTTTTCTTTATTTATCTCCTTCCACCAATTATATTTAATGCCGGGTAAGTTGAGTATTCTCCTGCAGTCATTTTGTATATAGAGATCTTTTGTTATAGTACCCATATGCTGTCAGTTAGAAATGTATTCCTACATACAGGTTTTAATTGTTGCCGTTGATTTATGATTGGTCACTTGGAGCTTTTGTCTAGTCATTTATCTATGTCCAAGTTTTTGTTGAACTGGCTCAAAAGCTACAAGCTTCTTTATAATATATTATGTAGTACATATAAGCATCCAATATAATGGCTAGAAGTATGAGATTTTTTGTTAATTATTCTTTTCTGGGACTTGGTTTTGCTAAGGCTAATTCAAAAGTATGGGAGTCAAAATTGAAGCTGTATGCTACAACGCTAAAACAAATATTATGAATTTGAATCCTGACATAAATCATGCTGATAACGGTAAGCAATGGATACAGGAAGTACAAGAATTCAAGAGTCGAAGTTAAGGAAACATAATTATCTATCCGAGCCTCTAAATATGGGTATTGGGATGCTAACACATGCTGAGGTAGAAGATGGAATAAGTAAGCAAAAGCAATCCATGTAGTAAAGCTCCTTGATTATATGGCCAGCCCCAAATCCTGCGCACAACAGAAAGATGCATCAATTGTCACTTGTCACTTGTCACAGGGAAACTATCACCAATATGTTGAAGGAACCAGCAAAAAGAAAACCAAGAGGCTTAGAGTGAGTGGTAAAAAGACAATGTTAACAAGCAGTAAGACAGGAAACGTTAGTTGCGAAAATCTGTGAGGTTAGCATTAATTATGAGAGAATTAGACGAATTGGATCAAATCTTTTCAGTAATGAGATTTTTTTAAAATCTGAATTGAGCTATGAAGAATGATGTGAAATCTAATTTAAATAGGCAAACTCCAGAAAAAAGTTGAAATATATGCTAAAGTAGATGCTGATGAAGAAATCTGTAAAACCTTTTCTGATCACATTTCAAAGCTAAAGGCAAAGGCCCTGCATTGGGGAATATATATGGTTGGAAAATCAATAGTTGGACACCGTATATTAAATTTCTGCAAGAAGCCTTAGTAAAGCCCCTAGTCTGATCGACTTAAACTGACGTTATGGTGACTAGTGGCAGATGACATCAGTTTTCTGGCAGCGAATGTGGGCCAATGCCTTCAGAATCTGACAGCACAATCGAACTCTCAATCAATGTGATGAACTTCAGAGATGCAATAACAGCCAAATATATCTGTAAAATCTGGTTGCAGAAAAAAGAGACAATGAATGAGCTCCTTTTCATTTAATAATGAGGTCACAGAGCATATGTATACTACAAAGTACCATTATAAACAAGACAGTATATCATAAGAATGGTATACGAAACCACCTCAACTGTACGAATTTGTTACAAGCACCATTCTTTTTGCGAATCTTGTTGTTACTTGATTATTACAGCCAATGGAATGAAATTTGTTGTCTTCAGACTGGAACATGTTTCTTCTTGATTAATAATGAGGTCGCCTCTACCATGTTCAATTGGAATATCCAGGCAAATTGAAGCATCAAAGCTGGTTCCTGTTGTGGGGATTTTGAAATATGTAGGGACTTATAAGTTATGGTCTGTAATACAACATATTCTGTTTGTATTTATTGAAAAAACCGTGTGCTATTTTATTGTGGAGATAGACTCACAATGGGTACAGCATAAGTTTTGAAAAGGTTTGATACTTCTAATGGCACAAGGATCAATGAAAGCCATTCAAATTTTAAGTTTTATAGTGCTGAACTTTGGTTCTAAACTTAAACGGCTTTTGTGGTTACTAAACCAGCAACTTTTTTGTATGAATATTAGGTTGTAAATGTGATTATGATGCATTCTTTTACACCCTACAAAAGTCCAAGGAACCTGAGAAGATTGATTAGCGAATATCAAACTGGATAAATCTGTTTTAGATACTTCATCAAACTCTTATGGATGTTTGGTTTGCAAGCTAAAGAAGAGTCTGTATGCGCTGAAGCAATTGTGGAGACATAAGTGTGATTCATTTATGATGGGTAACGCACAAGAATAGCTCATCTCTGTGTCAATTTTGGGAAGTTTTTATATGACGATTTTATTATCCTCTTGTTGTATGTTGGTGACAGAGATTGTGGGACAAGACTAGAAGATGATAATTGAGTTGAAGAAAGAGTTGCACAAGTCCTTTGACATGAAGGACTTGGGGCTTGCACAAATAATTTGAGGTATGCAGATTATTCGGGATAAGCAGACACTAGGAGGTTGTCTTTGTAAAAAGAGAAGTATATTGAATGGGTGCTTGAAAGATACAACATAAAAAATGCTTATTATATCCATTGATCAAAGAAGAAAAGGAAAATACAACACCTATACACTTCTTAATTCTGGGGAGTCTTATGTATGCTATGGTTTGTACATGGTCCGACATTGCTCATGCGGTTGGAGCAGTTTGTAGATTTCTTGCTAATTCAGCAAATGAGCATTATGAAGTTGTAAAATGTCTTCAGGTACTCCAAGAGTGTTTACAAGTTGTACTTCAGTTTTGGTAACGCAAAACCAGAGTTAGAAGGCTATTCAAATATTGATATGGTGGGCGATCTTCATTGTAGAAAATTGACTTTGGGGTATTTGTTCCCTTTTGGAAGGAAAGTTGATTCATGACCGTCCAAATTTCAATAGCGTGTCGCTTTGTCTTTTACAAAGGCTGAGTACATACATGACAGCTACTGAAGCATCTATGGAAATGACATAGATGAAGAGATTTCTTCTAAAGATGGGTTTGAGACAGGTTGAATACATGGTTTTTTGCAATAGTTAGAGTGTTGGATCTGAGAAAGAATTCACTATGGCATTCCCATACAAAGTACTTGATGTGAGATTAGGGGCGGAGCCAGGAACAATGAATGGGATGACCATCATCAATTCTCATTGCACCTTACAAATAAACCATCAGTATGCTTGTCAATGATAAGATTTGAATAGAATTTGAATTGATCCGAATCTGACTTGAGAACTTAACCGTCGATCTGACTATTCAAGGAACTTAATTTTTACGATTCATATCGAATCCTTTACAAAAACACTGATCTTATCCAAATAAGTAAACTAGAGGTGAATTTTAATTTCTACAATAAGAGGAATATGTATGAGTCAAAGAGATACTCAAACTAAGAGTAGAGCCCCATATGTATAGCCAAATAATAGTACAAAGTAACCTAAACATCCTTGTGGTCTAGGCAAAATATAAAAGTCATAGTAAGGGTAAAAAATGAAAAAAGAAACCCTAATAAACGAGACTATACTCCAACACTCTCCCTCAAGTTAGGTGCAAAAATATTAACTAAGTCAAGCTTAACAACGGAGTCCTGGAGAATGGATAGAGTAACAGGTTTGGTGAAAACATCCGTAACCTAATCACTGATCTCCATAAACAATGGAGTGACAATACCATAGTTAACCTTCGCCCAAAGAAAGTGAACATCGATCTCTGTATGCTTGTCCTCTCGTGTGGTACAGAGTCAGAAGCGAGCTGAATAAAAGATCGAATATCACAATATAATGCAGATGAAGAAATCACTGAAAATCTCAACTCGCTAAGAATCGATTGTAGCCAGATAAACTCATATTTGCCAAGTGCTAATGCCTAATGCTCTGCCTCTACTGACTAGCGAGAGATAACTGATTGCTTCTTGCTCTTCCAAGAGATAAGATGAGCCCCTCATATTTGCCTAGTGTTGGCTAGGTAAATAAGTCTACCTACCAACTTCTGATAAATAGTCGAATCACTCAATTCCTCACCTTTAGCAGTAAGCTTTAGGTTTGAAATCATAGGTGATGATGCCGGTTTGCACCCCAGCATCCCAGTGTCCAATAGCAAATCCAAAACATACTTCCTCTGAGAAAAAGCAATACCCCTGTTGCTACGGGCAACCTCAATTCTAAGAAAATATCACAGAAATCTGGGGTCCTCCACATCGAAGGTCTTCCCAAGATCTACCTTGACCTATACAATCTCAGAAATATCATCTCTGATAATAATAATATATCCACATATACCAAAAGGATGACACACTATCCAGAAGTATTCTATCAAATAAAACATGTATGATCAGAATGACATCTGGTGAACCCTAAACGTACAACTACACCACTAAACCAAGAGAACTAGGCTTGTGATGACTATTTAAGTCCATAAAGAGACTTACACAGTCAACACACCTTCCCAACATACTCCTTTTCACCACGAAAGCCTGGTGATGCATTCATATAAATAATCTCATCCAAAACATTGTGAAGAAACGTATTCTTCACATCTAACTGATGAAGTGACCAAGAGTACTCTACAACCATAGAAATAATCAACCGAACAGTAATTAATTTTTTCACAGGGGCAAAGGTAGCACTAAAATCACGACCTAGTACCTGAGTAAAGCCTTTCGCCACAAGCCTAGCCTTGTAATGATCAATAGTTCCACCCGCAAGAAACTTTAGAGTGTAAACCCAGCAATTACAAACAGGCTTCACCC